TTCTCTGGCTTAACAAACGGGCCTTTTTTCTCCTTCTCCTCACACAGGAGGACTGTCTGCATCATTCACACACACACACACACACACACATTCACACACACAACCTGTGTTCATCTTTGACTCCTTCTACGACAGGGGTCGGCAACAGGTAGTTTAGTTTTTGCTCAAAAAATTGTGTAAGATCATCAGGAATTCAGCTAAAAATTAGTTTAATTCAGGGAATTTGTTCCCAAGTATTCCCACGAATAAAATAAGAGACTTGATCGTGTCTCAATGTAATCAAAGTATGAAATTACTGTTATTTTCAAATACAATCGCTTGTTGGGTTTAGTTGTGGTCAGTTTGCAGTGTACAAATTATATTATAATTATGTTGAGGACCCCCGACCATCTTCTCCGACCAAAATCAGCCTGCGGCTTAATTTGGTTGTCTACCCCTGTTCTACTTCACTTCTAAGACAAAAAGTTACAGTGAAAACACAGGTCACTTACCAGGTCATGGATCCCAGAGAGTGGGTTGGTTTTCTCTCTCATCTCTTCAGAGTGGGATAACGCTCCTTGTTGGTCAAGCTAATCGAGAGAGAGCATTTGAGATTTTTCAGATATAACATAAGAATAAAAAAAGACTCAATCATACACATTCCTATGGTATTATGCAAATAGTTATAGCCACATTATAGTTGACGAACACAGTGAAACACACACACACACAAACTAGTATGTCATGCTGCAGGACTAGAGTCCTACCTGTGTGTGTGGCTGCAGGTTGATGAAGGCCCTCTCAGGTGATGGTGGTCTCGGGCTCTGTTCCACTGGGTCTCGGTTCTCAGGGATGGGCTGCAGAACACCTGTTGATGTCATACTCACCTGAGGTCTCCTATTCCTGTTCCTGTTTCTGGACACACTCTGTCTGGGTTCAAAGTTTGGGTTCCTGACGACACAACCTAACTGGGAGCACAATGACAGGAGCACATTACACTCAAATCCATTTATCTAGCAGTTGTATGCTATTTTTTTTGTTTTTAAGCCATAGCATAGGTCCACTTACCTGATAGAGCAATAAGGGAATCCATGTGTAGATCAATAATAATAATAATAGGCTACATTTAATTTCTATAGGGCTTTTCATTACAGAGCTATCTCAAAGCTCTACTGAGGAAAACATTTAATATATATATATATATACAATTTAAAAAAAACATACAGTACATTTCGAATCAAGGCAGGTAAAATACCAATAATGGGCTAGGTGCTAAATACATTTTAGAATGGGACTA